GAGCGTTCACATGGAGCCACTTGAAACCGGCTTCGGGGTAAACCACATGTAAACACGGCCTAATACAGACTGAATTCTAAACGTTTTGGAAAAAAAAATGTCACAACTCCTCTTTGTTAATGACATTATGAATGTATAGGTGAAGAACGTTTGAAACGCTTTAGGCTCCGTTCACTGGACTGCTCACAGATAGATATCTTCCTCCGCTTGCCCTTATATAGAATAAATGCATCACGCGATTCCTCTGTACCAATCACTGCACATGACAAGTAGGTAATTGAATGATTGTGCGAGTGAGTTAGTAATAGTGAGTGAGTGAGTGAGTGAGTGAGTGAGTGAGTGAGTGAGTGAGCGAGTGAGTGAGTGAGTGAGTGAGTGAGTGGACAATTTTTCAGACAGTATGTCAGTGAGTCCAGAAAGGAACTGGAAGCGCAGTACAAGCATATGGGCATAGATGGATAGCCGAAGGTAACGTTTGTCCTATTGATAACCATGCACGCACTTGTATACACAAAACACACACACACACACACAAACATACACACACACACACATACATACATACACACAAAAACACACACAAACACACACACACAAACACATACACACAAACACACACACACAGAAACACACGCACATACATGTGAACAAACGCCTTTGCGCACACATACACGCACGCACACAGCACTGATAGGCAATTCTTTAAAAAGTGCCATGGCGAATGTTTTTTTTTATTTCAATATTTATGTGTGATGTGTTATATGATAACTAGTCTTGTTTATAAAGGACTGAGAGCTTGTTACCTTACTGTAGGGAGAATCTATTTGCCAGCAATATATATAATGGTTACTCCCCATTTTGATGTTTTCGTGGTTTATAATGTACACCATGTTTCATCTTTTTCTTTCCATGAAGACCACGAACAGCAACAAATAGGATGGGAGCTCTGTTGCCAATTAGAAACAGGAAGAGCAAGTGACATGGGCTTATATATCATTTCACCATAGATTGCCCCTTGTATAGTAGAGATAGACTCATATTTTAGCCATGTATTAAGTATATTTCCCAACTTCAGATATTTGACTAGTAAAGAGAAATTTGTATTCCTTTTAACTTTTGATAAACCTACTCTAAGTAATCGCACAGCCGCATATATTCATACAATCACTACTAAGCGAGATGAAGCCGAAAATAATAGAAATTAGACATTTATTTAGTATATGTTCATATGTATGTAATGTATATATGTTTATGTTCATGTTCTGTACCCATGCGACCTGTACTTAGTTCTGTAGAACACAAATGTACAATAAAGGTCTTCATTCAATATATTATTAGTCCATTGGCCAGAAGAGATATTGGTACCAACTGAGGTGGCAAATTCTCATTATGATTTTTGAAAAGAAGGGTGTCTGTGGAATTTTTTTTTATATGATAGCCGTTGCATATTGGCAGATTTGACCTTGCTATCTGACCTTGAACTTTGACCTCATATGGACCGCGTCCTTTTATAACGCAAAGAGGAGTGGTAAATAATCAAATATGGCTTACTTGATAGACTGATAAAAACATGCAGGAACCAAGAATTACAAAAGTGTTAATTTTATTTCGATATATCATTTCTACGAGAAGTTATGAGCTTTTACAGGTTTTTAAGGTAAAAAATGGTAAAAAGAATCGAACGTTTACTGTTCAAAACCTGTCATATATCCATATTACATATTTGAGCCTGTTTCATGCGTCCATATTAGATTCGATGTGGCATTTCCTACATTTCAAGCTTTCAATCATAAAAATTCGTCAGTTCTATCCGGAAATATGAGTATCTAAAAGTTCTATTCCCACAGTACTCTCCAAGCAGAGGTTTGGGTTTTGGGGGTATTTTTAGCGTGTTTTTCGGCTTTTTATCGGGGTTGCTCTTTTGCACTGAATTTTCTCCCCACCAAACCCAAACTAAACGTGGGTTTAGTGGGAAAAAATTCAGTGCAAAAGAGAAACCCCGATAAAAAAAGCCGAAAACACGCTAAAAATACCCCCAAAACCCAAACCTCTTCTTGAAGCGTATTCCCACAGGCCTTCTGTAGGGGAGACAGGAACCAACATACATCTCTATTCTCAACAAGGTTCTTAACAGTACTGAATCTGACGGTGGGAGAGGAGTCACAACAGTTCAGGAAACCTGCATTTATGGTGTAACTTGTAAGGCGGCGCTGCATCGCAACCTTCACACGAATACGTCTGAGCAAGTAGGCCTATAAAAACCACATCAGATTAACATTACTTTAACTTAGCATCATCAATGAGAAATTTAAACATAGATGCAAAATAGAAAAAAAAAAATCAATTTACAGCATTTGAATTGGAATTAAAATCAACATTAGAATTTTAATTGTAACTTTATTCCATGGCAGGTATAATGTATAACAGCTTGTGCATAATGGAAGTTGAACTATTAGCTCTTCTTCATCTGGTCGTGAGCGGTTCACGGATGCTCTCTATTAGCTAATAGCTAAGAATATTATGATACTCATCTTGTTTTATGAACAGTGAAGACACAAAATGTTTATTACTGTATGTTCATACTGTAATTTAGAAGATTGAACATCATTTTGAAGTACATGTAGAATGTAGTTTGTACAACAGAGTTTAACTTTCTAGACTGAAAATGACAATGTTTTCCTACTTTATACACCTGATAGTATAAGTAATACAGATTTTCATTTCATTTTTTTTATCCTATATATAGTCACACCAATTTAATTTGTTGTTTCTCGAATTTTTTCAGAAAAAAATATGAAGCAACAGGGCGAAAAAAAAACAGGCTAAGGCACCCCATGATGCTGAAAATGTTACAATATGAGCCATGAAGTGAACATACCAGGCTAGTTTATAATCAAAACAATAGATCAAAACAATAGATTTTGAACTTTTAATGAAACAAAATTGCATTTTTACATTGAAAAACTTTAACAGCTAAGAAAACAGAAAAAAGGACTTTCTTCAACCGTTGGGACCAAAATACACCTGAAATTGTTTTAGAACAAAAAAATTCAAATCTGAAAAAAATGGACAGGGTGAATCCAAGAAACAACAAATTAAATCGGTGTGGCCTGTATACCTACATGTAACATGCCTGTTCTTACCTTTTCACCATCACATAGAAGTGATTGAGAAGTTGAATTTAGTTAATAGACTATAGTGCTAGTGCTAAGTTGACCTTTGCTTAACTCAGTAGGTACTTTTAAGTACCTACAAATTAAAATTTGTACAATAAAGGTCTCCATTCATCATTCATACATCCATTCATTCATTCACAATGACAATATTCAAAGATTCCAAACATTTAAAAGCCTCCTTTTTTAACGAGTTAATATATTTCTGAGGAAGAATACTGCATACAGTAGGACAAGTATGCCCAATACAACTATGAAAACTACTCTTTTGTAGGAAGTACACAATCGCTGATGTAACACCAAGACTTGCTCCTTAGTAAACTGTAAGTCTCCAGAGTTCTCAATGATGTGATCGGCAAGCTCTATTTTATTACACAGCGGCATTTGTGCTTGCATCCTTTTTTGCGCCACTTCTTTTGCATAATCGTTCCTTGCCATCAGTCGCTCAAGTTGTGTTTCCTCATCACTGAAAAAAAAAGAAAGAAACAAGACTGGCAATGAAAACATACATTGCCATGGCGACTGTTGTTGCTGTTAGGGTTATTGTTTGCATGGTACTGCCATTATTTCATGATTTTGAGAAAGACTTGGTACCTGTTAGTCTAGACAGATACAGTGCACTCCTCCTTGGAGTGTATAGTGAATGAGCCCAGGGTCACAGAAAGTAGGGCCATCTGGGGCAGACAGGTCTTCCCAAGGGCTTCCAGGAATGTGGGCATAGATGTGGGTCAGAGACATGCCTGTGGACATTCCATTCCTGTGGACAAAATGCCTGTACCATTCCTAGAATTCTTGCAAACTGCACACAATACTGTACCATTAGGCTGCTCCCTGAGACGTCGCCAAAAATATTCTCAACACTAAAATGAAGACAAAATGTACAATGCATTCCTTAAAATATGAATGCCAACTCTCAATTTCTGTAGTTAAAACCTTCCCAATAATGTTTTGTACATCTTTATTTCTGAAGTGTACAAACCTCAGGGATTACTGATTTTAATGAATTTAATATTACTGCTAATAAAACAGGAGATTTAGCAGGTAAAACAGAATATTATATGTAGGCAGACATGGGCTGAAAACAAATTGTTAAAGCTTATATGTATACCTTTGGACAACCCTGCATATAATAAAAAATGCATAATTATGAATTCAAGGCATCCAACACAGTGTCAAGGTGGCAAAAATATTATGGATTTGGAAATCAATTTAAGATTGTCATTTACTAAACAATTTTTAGTAGATTATTTGGATTTCATATCTCAAACCTTTGAAATAGCTCAAAAACAAGCTACATTTTTGGATACTGCCTGTATATACATGTAGCTAGAACCATCCTATGATCAAAACAAACCATTTTCCATCGGTGTCAGATTCACATTTTATGCCTCACAGATATCAGTATGCCATGGGATAGGGTTGATTCAACTTTTACTACATTGACAATGACAATGAAGTTTATTGCATATTCATGCCCCAGTGGGGCTAAATGCATTCTTAAGTTACAAAAAGGATTAGTCAAACTATGGTATGTTCTATCTATATCCATCTAAGCTGTACATATTTCTTCATTAGAATGATGATCACAAAATTGACTTGGAAAATTCAATTTTCCCCTTCCTGAAACTAGATTGAATACCTTCAACCAGCATTAACCATGTATCTGGTAGTGATGTCGGCCCCCGTCACGGTTTAGTGAATCGAAGGGTGATGGGCCCTGAACAAGACCCATCACCCTAGCAACAGGGGCCGACATTGTCTTCCAGTGATTGACCCAGTGTTGATGTCACACTTCAAAGAAGCCACGTGACAAGCCTCACTTGGTCAGTCTACTGAGGAAGACCAGAGTGACTGGTGGAAAGCTCTTACTAGGTTAGAGACATTTATTGTGTTGGTTCAAAAGTTTTAACTTTAAAAGTGTAGATTCTATAACATACCATGACACGACCACTGTGCTGTACAGGTACTTGTGCAGCTTACTGCCCGTTTCAAACAGCAGGGGAATGTCCAGTATTGCATATTTGTGACCTAGAAGAGAGAAAAACATAACAGATCTGATGATCAGAAAATCTAAACAGATTATTAAAATACAAAATAAACCTGGTTAAGAGAGCTATGATACGAGTACATCAAAACCAAGTACATGGACCACAGCAGGTTACATCGTAGGTGCAGGTAGACATCAGAAATACCTGCAGAGCTCCAATTTTACCTGCACTAACCTGCATATACCCAGTACATGGACCAGTGCAGGTTAGGTACAGGTAGACATCAGAAATACTAGTACTTGCACAGCTCCCATTTTAGTTGCACTAAGCTGCATATACCCAGTACATGGACCAGTGCAGGTTAGGTGCAGGTAGACATCAGAAATACCTGCACAGCTCCAGTTTTACCTGCACTAACCTGCATATAGCCAGTACATGGACCAGTGCAGGTTAGGTGCAGGTACACATCAGAAATACCTGCACAGCTCCAATTTTACCTGCACTAACCTGCATATACCCAGTACATGGACCAGTGCAGGGTAGATGCAGGTAGACATCAGAAATACCTGCACAGCTCCAATTTTACCTGCACTAACATGCAATACCCAGTACATGGATCAGTGCAGGTTAGATGCAGGTAGACATCAGAAATACCTGCACAGCTCCAATTTTACCTGCACTAACATGCAATACCCAGTACATGGATCAGTGCAGGTTAGGTGCAGGTAGACACCAGAAATACCTACACAGCTCCAATTTTAACTGCACTAACCTACTATATACCCAGTACATGGACCAGTGCAGGTAGACATCAGAAATACCTACACAGCTCCAATTTTAACTGCACTAACCTACAAATGTACATATACCCAGTACATGGACCAGTGCAGGTAGACATCAGAAATACCTACACAGCTCCAATTTTACCTGCACTAACATGCAATACCCAGTATATGGACCAGTGCAGGTTAGGTGCAGGTAGACTTCAGAAATACCTGCACAGCTCCAATTTTACCTGCACTAACCTGCATGTTCCCAGTACATGGACCAGTGCAGGTTAGGTGCAGGTAGACATCAGAAATACCTGCACAGCCCCAATTTTACCTGCACTAACCTGCATATACCCAGTACATGGACCAGTGCAGGTTAGGTGCAGGTAGACATAAAAATACCTGCACAGCTCCAATTTTACCTGTACTAACCTGCATATACTCAGTACATGCACCAGTACAGGTATAAATCAGAAATACCTGCATAGCTTCAATTTTACATGCACTAACCTGCATATACCAAGTACATGGACCAGTGCAGGTAGACATCAGAAAAACCTGCATAGCTTCAATTCTACCTGCACTAACCTGCATATTGTATATATATAATTATATACCCAGTACATGAACCAGTGCAGAATAAGCAACTGGCTGATTGTTTAATGTTAATTAAATAACTTATTGACTTATTAACTGTACCTCGACAGAAGAGTTTGATGACTTGCCAGACCATCTCCCTGTGTATAGCTGGGTGAGTCAGTGAATTCAGCACCTTTCTTTGCTGTCTGTCACTGAAGATGATCCGTCCCAGTCTGTCCCTGTCCAGCCGACCGTCCTCCTGCAGAATCTCAGAGCCGAAATGTGCCACGATCTTCTTCAAGGTCGGCGTACCTGGTTCAACAACTGTGAAGGTCAAAGGTACAACAATTTTTTGTTTAAATTTCCAACATATCCATCAGTTAGTAGTAGTATATTCCTCAATCAGTGACTCTTTTGATAGGTATAGAAACATGTACCTCCAAATTTTCCATGTACCTCTTGATCATGGAGTGACCTAGTCTCGCGAGAACATGAGACTAGGTCGAGACTTTGAAAATTTGGAGGTAAGTGTTTCTACCTATCAAAATAGTCACTGATTGAGGAATATACTACTAACTGATAATTCTACGTGACTGATGAACCTCTTCAACAACATGTACATGTACGTCACAAGACGTGGTGACGGCACACTCAAGTTTTTTCAACTTATATTAATGCCGCCACCAACACAGAGGACAATACAATACTCATTTTCACCTGAGTGAAGTGAGGAAACTCGTGTAAAGTGCCTTTCCCAAGGGCACAAGATCAGTGGCATGTCAGGAAACGAACCAGGGACCTCTAGGTTCCGAGTCGAGCACTCTGCCGCTACGCCACACGACCCCACAACAGATTTGACCTCAATCATATTTTATTATAAACTAAAGCTTAACGACCCCAATGTTATTAGACCTACAATGTAGTACCTATGACAAGAAATACTAGTACTATCTGTTTTAGTAGTAAAAATTTTACTATGAAAATCTGCAAGACTCTTTCCATTCTACCTGACAAGAAATTGCATACAGGACAGCTGCTAACAGTACTACTCAGCTGGACTGTCAGACACAAATGTAAGAAACAGGAGGAGCGGGTAGAAACAGATAAAAACCCCTGGTCCTGGGTTAGCTTCAAAATCAGATGCTCAAACCACTCGGCTAAAAGGTCTAGACCCATCGGCCGGGTCAGTTGGTAGCGCCTATAAACCTCCCGCTGTTACACAAAGACTAAGTTTTAATGAAAAACATTAAAAAACGTAAACAAAGTCTTGATTAGGCCCATACTTTGTCTTATGTCTTATATAACTCTTATCAATTTTAATTGTGATGGTGTTATTCACGGCGGTCAATTTCTAGGGTAAAGTTTCCAATTCTACGGAGGGGTATCAGGTTACCGGGGTTCCACGCGCGGCTTCCGTGGTGCCAGTCTCAGCGGTAAACATTCTTTTCATCAATTATAAACAGTTTCACGGGGACTCTCTTGTCCAAATGTGATAAAATCCGCACTGCATATAGCTCAAATGTTGGTGTTTTTATTACAATGCTTAAATGTGCGTGAAATCACTCTCAACGCGTCAAATGCTTATTCTAGAACAATCGACGTCAATATCCAAACAACTGATTTAAACCGACCCCAAATCTCTCCGAAAATTCCACATTTTTGCATTTTAGAGAACAGTATAACAAAATTAAGATTTGAGTCGGACAGTTTTCTTTATTTCAAAGTTAAAGTGTTGCTAAGGTAGAAAAATTCGCCAAAAAATGCACTTTTTCAACTTCCAAGGCGGATAATTCCAGAGCGCCGCCATCTTTAAAAAATCCGTCCGACACAGATCGAGATTTTTGTTTTACCTTCAATTCAAAACGTTTTTGAGGTAAATTGAATTTGTTTTTCTTGCGGTTTAAATACCATGTTTGCACGCATGTCAGGCAGGGTGAGTAAGTGCAGGGGGTAACTTATATCCCCGTAAACAACAATTACGATCTTCAAGGTCACACACCATGACGGCAGTAGCTTCGTTACATGTTACATATCCACTATAAAACAGGGCATAGATATACTGTCCCGAAATCGGTTTATATCTGTGAAAAGGTGGATTTTTTACTGTTAGGCGGTACCCGTGTAAAAACGGGCTTGAAGCCGCGGGTTTACTGTACATGACCGCGGATAACCCCGGATCGAACGAACGTTCGGTTCGATTGACGTCATATCGAACATGATTCGATTCGAATGACGTCATATCGAACATGATTCTGTTCGATGAAAAGGTTGGAATATTTGGGCCCAAATTTGACCATCGTGATTATAGGGTGGTACTGCCTTTATGTGTACTTTAGAAGTGATACATTATGTTTGTCCACAGTTGTTACTGAATATAAGTAGATGCACGCTTCTTTTACTAAAGTTGCCAAATCTAACAGAAAAATAGCCTGGGTGCCAGACCCATAGCACACTGGGCACAAAGCATCTCAGTGAGCATGGGTCTGGTAGGATCAGATGGACCTGTCATTCAAACGCTCAGTATTTGGTCAAAACATCCCATTGCAACTTTATCTTTGAATGACAGTGGCCACCAGCAGATGAGATAAAACTGTAGATAAGGCCACACCAATTTAATTTGTTGGTTCTCGGATTCGCCTCTTCATTTTTTTCTGATTTGCAAAAAAAAAAAAAAGATTCTGGTTCTGAATCAACTCAAAAATGCTCATATTTTGCCCCCAACAGTTGAGGAAATTCCTTTTCTTCCTAGTTATTATAGTTTTTTCCATCTATTAATGCAGTGGTTTGATTAAGAGTTCAAAATTTATACTTTAAATTTTAACCCAGCCTTTTTTGTTGACTTCATGGCTCATATTGTAGCATTTGGGGCTATAATAGGATGCCTAGACCTGTTTTTATTTAAATTTATTTTTTTTCGCCTTGTCGTTTCATATTTTTTCTGAAAAAATCCGAGAACCAACAAATTTAATTGGTGTGGCCTAATGTGTATTTTGTCCTGGTGTGTTAGAGGACTGTTACCTAAACAAACAGGAAAGCTTGGGTTGTACACAACTTCTACTGTTAAACTAAGTTCTGCTGTTATTTTGGAAAATAAACTCCAAATACACCTAGAAAACTGATACTAGAAAATTGACTGGTTAAATTGATTAACTGTTGAGCCCAAGATTGTCTCCTGCTGACCAATGGTGGTACCATGTAACAGACTACCTGTGGTGTGAGCGGCCATCAATCACAGCTTCTCCTCCCTATGCTGGAGAGCCTTTCCCAAGGCTTTCTACCAGACCCAGGCTCACTGAGATACTTCAGTCCAGTGTGCTATGGGTCTGGCACCCGGGCTAACAGAAAAAAAGTGAGTTCCCATAGAGAGATGCATAAAATCTCACAAAATTAGTGTTAGATACTTAACCTGCACCATACATTTATACTTCATTCTATGGAAACTTTGTAAGAAACAGGGGAAGCCAGTAAAAACCCTTCTGGTCTCGGGCTGGGGTTCGAACCCACAACCCCTCAGGCACCAGTGCTTCATAACCAGACGCTCTAACCACTTGGTCGAAAAGGACTAGACCCATCAGCCTGGTCAGTTGGTAGCGTCTATAAACCCCCCACTCTTACACTACTCCCCCTTTTCTTTTAAAGATTCGTCCTCGAATCTTCCAAATTCGACATCCCTGGAGCGGCACTCTTTGCCAGAACTCTCAGGGCCGGTGTGGAAACCACTGTAAGAAACAGGAGGAGCCAATAAAAACCCTTCTGGTCCTGGGCCGGGGTTCGAACCCACAACCTCCCGGGCACCGGAGCTTCATAACCAGATGCTCTAATCACTCGGCCGAAAAGGTCTAGACCCATCGGCTGGGTCAGTTGGTAGCGCCTATAAGCCCCCAAATGTTACAACTTGATACAACGTAATCATAAGACACTTCTCTTACCATCCTTTGCTATTTGGTCAGCATCAACTACAGGAACCCCCAGTTGTTTAAACATGGCTGACACTGTACTCTTCCCTGTGGCTATACTGCCTGTCAGTCCTACCAGCAGCATGGTGGCTGTCTGTCAGTCATGTACCCTGCAGGATAGAAAAGAAAAACATAAACAACACTAGAAGTTTATTCATTTATTTCTGTTTTATTTCAACAGGGTAGAAACCTCAGTGCTATTTAAAACCTCTGCTTTTCAGGAATGCCCTGTAACAAGTGACACATGGAAACAATGAAATTGACACAATAAGGCCACACCAATTTAATTTCTTGGTTAATGGATTTTTCTAGCAGAATAATGGAGCGGGCGGGCGGGTGAAAAAAATAAAAATAAAAACAGGCCTAGGCATTCTATTATGGCCCAAAATGGTACCATAGGAGCCAAGAAGTCACCACACCAGGCTGGTTCACTTTAAACAATGAATTTTGAACTTTTAATGATACCATTACATTAAAAGATGGAATAACTACATATGTTTGAGAAATACTTGCACAAAATATTAAATGTACATTATGCACACCCATCCGAGGGCTAATATTTTTTCTGCATACCTGCACTGTACACTAAGTTACTAACAATCTATAAGCATCGATGGATTACAGTAAAAGCTGTTAA